ATAAAAACAATGTTTACAGAAATAACCAAAAGTACGTAAGTACAATAAATTATGGGTAAATAATAAAATAGATTTACACCACATCAACAAACCATCTTCACATGTTTAAATAGAGCTCCATGTATGTGACATAAGAATTAACAGAGAGCAATTTAATTATAGTTGCATTCTCAAATATAAGACAGAAAATGAATTCAAAACGATCTCTGAAGTGTCCAGCAGCCACATTCTCTTGTTACACTTCATTTTGATCCAATCGAATGTGTCTCTCTTGCTCCTTCTCTTCACTGTCCTAATAAAAACAACTTTATAAAACCAAGCATTTAAAATAAAATACACCCAGTTTGCAAAGTCAAAATAAAGACTCATGATGTGCATCTGCTTTTAGAGAATTTAAGAAAACAAATTTGACATAATCACTGTTAGTATTTGTTTATTCTATACTCAGATGTGTTGGCCGCTGTGATGTTTCTCTCATATTTCCCAACATACCTGGCTTCAGTTCGTCCTGTCTCTTACCTGGAAAGTAATGGTCAGTGACCAGCTCAACAAATGGCAGCCACAGCAGTTTCGTCAGTGCGCAGCACTTTTCCCCAGCAACTTATGTTGTACAACGCTACGTACAGTATGTCTCCTGCATGCATGCCTTACTCACCCACCCGCCCGCCTGTCATTCATGTCACATCACCACTGGTGAGTGGGCTGAAATCCGATTGGACAACAACATAATCCCAACACAGGAGGGGGAAAAATATGAAACACGGGGAAAACTAAGGGATTACACCATCTGGCCATATCTGAGTGTGTTTGTGTGCGCGTGTGTAGGTAGAACATTCATTCATGAGTTACTTTCCTTATGAGCTATGAGACTGCACTTGCTTCATCGGAAGGTGTTGCTGCATCGCGTCTAAAGCTGCTGTACAAAGCTCTGCAGCACTGAGCACAGCAGCAACACTATTTGTTTCCAAATGATAAGATGTAGTCACAGGAGCATTAAAGAAGAACCATACGAATGTGCAATAAGATAAAGATTGTGACAAAGGAAGGTAAACAGGTATTTTAAGAGCAAAGCTGAAATAATAAAATAGTGTAGATTAAATCAATGTCTGATTCTGACCATTGCTGATTCTGATCACTGTCACATGAACTGCTATCAGAGACAGATTTCAGTCACAATCACTCCCTCTTTATGTTTGATTCCACGTCTCTAAATTGAGCACGGCATATGTATTTACAGGAGAACTTGTCCGAGAAACACCATATTATAGAGTTTGAACCACTGAGCAAACCATTTAACCTGCAAGTTGTTGTGTCTCTGTTGAGACCCAAAGCACAGTCATGTACTGATTGTTTGTGGATGACAGATGGGACTTGCACAGACACACAACATTATAACACACACTGCAATGCAGGATTACATGTCAACAAAAGAGGATCTAACCTCTGTTCATTGTTCTTAATAGTAATACATTACAAGTATTCACTGTTAGTTCTTGAATCTAGAACGTGCATTTGTAATGTTTCACTTTGAAGTGAGTGTTCACTTTAAATACACACAATGCATCATAACCTCATATGCATGAATGTATACAGTAGATGGAGGCATGAGCTCACTGTGCGGTGCATGTAAGTGTTCAAGGACATGAAAACACGTGAACACACATCAGTGTACACATGGGTTTATCCGTGCATGTGCGTGAGTGTCCCGAATTTGGCAGAGTGGTGGAGGTCGAGTGATGAGCTTACATATTTCAGGGACATTAGACCTTCATGTTGTTGACCATCCTACCGTCTCTGCCTCCTGTAGAAGATTTCCTCAGAGAGCATCTGAAATGAATTGAGCTCTGAGGTTAACAGGGCAAATGCCTTTTCATCTAAATGCTCCTTCTGGATGTTTTCCAATTCAGAGTGTACCAGCAGATAATCTGATTCAGCGTTGCTGATTTACAAAGCTCTGGGAGATTATCACAATGCGCTAAACACATCCAAAAAAAGCACAGAGTGCAAACTTCACATGGTGGGGTGGGCATGGTCGAGTGACAGTAACAGTAACAGTTTGTAAAACAAGACCAAACAGTTTTAAGGACTATTTACAGTGGATCACTGGTCAAAATGGGACAACATGTGCACCTCAAAGTGGTTCTGTGTGGAGGCAATTGGGGAAGTGAGAAACTAGAACCTTGCATCAGTTGTCAGGCTGGATTGTGGGTAACGTTTTATGTTCAAAAAACACTTCCAAATGATATTAAGATTTTGTTTTAAAAGTTAAAAATGTATTAATCATTTCTAAAGATTAGATTACTTTTAGTTTGCCCTGTTATTTTCTAATGAAGGATTACAATGTTTTAGATCTGAATGTAACCGGTTGGTAACAAGGAAATAATAATGTTTAAATAATTATCCAATCACCGTTGTGTACGCATCTTACACAGGTGTTAAATAGATTGAAGTAGTCCTCCCCTCCCTTTCTGATTAAATAGCACTGTATTACAGGCCCATGTTACGATTCTGGCAGGTCCAGGGTGTGCGTTAGTGGTGCGAGGCGCCGGGCTCGGCGAGCGCAGAGCTATTCGATGCTACTTTAGGGGTCGTGAGAATTTATGGACAGTCGAGGTAACCCCTTTTTGTTGGTTTATTAAATTGCCTGATGTCATGCCTAAATTCACGAGTGTATTAACCCCAGGTATTATTTCTGTTGTAGATGAAATACTGCCACTTTTGTAAGTTGCTATTTATGTAATGTGAACAGATGCATTAAAAGCACAGAGTTGTTGAGTGGAGGTAGTGTGTCTTTAACCCTCAGGCATTTGTGACCACTTGTCCTGCAATAGCTCTTGTTTTGACCTATCTCAACTTAATACTTAGTGTATGCTTCTCTAGAAGGTTTTTATTTTTCCAGCTGTGTATATCTGTATTGAAATATCTATTTTTATAGAAAAGGAATAATTAAGAAGTGTTGTAAAAACGTCTGACCAAATAAAAATGTTATATTTTATAATTTAAACACACGTCTCTGTATTCATTTGTTGACAGATCTATGTGTTTATGGGGAACCCTCTTAAAGAGATCAGTATAATTATGGGGATCAATCAGGTTTATTCTGGTAGTATTGCCTATTCTTTGGCTGAAAGTTCCAAGGTGGTGTTGTTAAGTAAAATCTCTTTCTAAGACATCCAATTCGGTTACATAATGTATCATTAAAATAGTTTTATTATTATCATTGGCTTCCCTGAAAAAAAGATTAGGCTCTATCTTAAATCTCAACATCTATGGCTTAAAAACTTTTGATCCCATTATTTGGTAGCTGGCGAATCAACCAGCTACCAAATACAAATGTACAAGCCACCACTCATTTTAAGATTTATTGTCCATGAGTAGGATTCAAAAGCCCCGGAATTTTTTTTTTTTTTTTCAAATTTTGCAGTTGAGGAACAGACAAAAGAAAATTAAGTGGAGCTTCGATTAGCTCTCCTTGCCACAGTAACACAAAACAACACATTACTGCCATCAGTGATGGTGAATGTGGGAAAAAGCCACCACTATGCAGAGTTTGCTCTTAAAGTCTCTAAGGGACATAATTATTTTATCAGAGGCCTGTTGAAAGACTTGATTTGTATATGGACATTTTGATGGATTTTCCATTGTACACAATTACATCACTGATGTAAGTGCAGAATTTAAAGTGTATACAGCTGTTTTATCTGTTTATGGTCAGTGCAACAGGCTGGAGGATGATCTGAGTTCAAATTTATCATTTCTCTTTTTCACAACACTTGAAAAGTTCCAAGGCCCAGATGTTGGGCTGATATCTCTGAAGGATTCTATCATAGACAGACCATTTTATTACTAAAATATTTCATCGATACACAGCATGTATTCAGCAGCCTGAAGACCAGAATCATTGAGCACGTCACTAACTCTGTGCTGAAGGCTGCTAGCAATAACATGGGTGACCTTTTCATACTTGTTCACTTGTTTTAAACAGTGACTATACTTGTCCAATAAAATGTAATTTCTCATGGGTTACTCAAGACTGAAA